GGGCGGTGTCCCATCTGTCTCCCCGAGCACAGCCTAGCTTCGCACACACTACGAGAGACTTGAAGGCCCTCAAGCTGTTTCCAAGGGCTCAGAGTCTCTGGGATGCCTGTTCCCCAGCTCTGTTAAATGAGGGTCAAGTTGGCTGTGGTGTGGGGCCAACATACTATGCTTGCTGCCCTCAGCCACAGGCTGTGGGAGGGGGAGGCGGGAACTCACTCCCTTCCCGCATAGACTCTGCCCCAGTTGCTTTCCTATCTTTCTCTGAGTCCTGCTTCCTAGTATGTGGCATCTAGTCAGCCTGGGTGAGGGCACTTGATGTGGCCTCAGACCCACTGCTTCCTTGGACTAAGCTCCCTATGTTGGGCTTGCCTGTGGTCTGGGCTCCAGTGGGAAGATGGCCAATGTTGGGCTCATCTGCCAGCGAGACCTCCCTAATGCTCTGCTCTCTGCAGGTAGGCTAGCCCTCAGGCCACCTACTGATGGACTCTCAGTGGCTCCTTTCCAAGTCGCGGGTGGTTTTGCCTCTGGTCTTTCAACCACGGCTGAATGTCTCCCTCTGCCTGCACCCTCCTCGCCTTCCTCTTCCTGCCTCTTCCAAGTCCTCTAAAAACTGCCTCCTCCCTCTTGCCAGCATCTTCAAGTCTGGCCTCCTCTTCCGCTCACAAACAGGACCCTGTGCGAAGCAGGAAGGGCAGGGCAGGGCAGCTCCAACTTTTCCTCCAAAGGGCAAGTATCCCCCAGGGCTTGGAGGCAGCCCCTCAGGAGGCATGTCCAAATTCAGTGTCTCTTTGAAGTCTGTTTTATCGTAAAAGTAGATGTGAATTTTACATTCTACCGTATGGCTCATGTATATACAAAACCACATTTGAGTTAACGTAAGAATACTTTAGTTTACAGTGAATCTGTAAATAAAATTGATGCTCTAGGAAGGGGACCAGGAAATGTTTTCTATAAAGGACCAGAGGGTGAATATTATAGGCTTTTCGGGCGGTATGGTCTCTGTGGCAACTGCTCAACTCTGTTGCTGTAGCTTGAAAACGGCCATAGGTTGGCTACGAGCGGGGCTATGGGCCAATAAAACTTTAATTTGAATTTCATGTAATCATCAGGTGTCACAAAATATTATTTTTCTTTTGATTTTTTAAAAATGTAAACCCCATAGCTCATGGGCTGTACAAAAACAGGCAATGAGTCGGGCTCGGCCCCTGGGCCGTGGTTTGCAGACTACGCTCTAGGTTGAGCCTGTGGCTTCACATACAAAGCCAAGGCCGCATGTGAGAACCATAGATATTGTAATCAGACCCACCTCTAAACTGCTGTGCTACTGAAGGCAGGTGACGACTGACCTGAAGTTGCTTCCTCCTCCGGAGAACATGGTTTGGGATGGGCTCAAGCACGGCCAGGCCTGGCACAGTGACCAGCAGATCAGCAGCCCCTAAGCAGAGCAGTGGCTGCCACCCTGCTCTTCCCTTCACTGACAGCCTTTGCTGTTGGATGTGCTGACTGAAGGAAGGTGGAGGCCAGGACGTGGTGGATGAGGCAGATGTGCGCCTGCAGCTCCTGGTTTGGTAGGTGGGTGATCCAGAACACCCCAGGGGGAGAGGCGAGCAGTATTCACACCAGAGAGCTGGACTGCTGCTTTCTCAACTGGGATTTCTGGCCCTGTTTCCAGGTGATTACTCACACTTTCTGGCTGAAATTAAGTTCCGGCCTCTAGGGATTGTTATCAGGGAAGCCCATCTTACATTATCTGCACATTCTCTCTCTCCTACCAGCCTCAGGAGCCCCAACAGACCCTACGGCTGAGTTGTAGGTACCCAACTGGCCCTGCCACCCCTCTTTTCCACCTGCCAGAGTTGGAGGCTGCTTCTCACGTGACCCATTGGCCCTGGGCTGGTGATCCCAAACATCCAGACACCCAGAATATCCCTGAGGCCTCCCAACATCAGCACAGCAGGGACAGGAGGGAAATATTTTTTCCCTGGGTAGCTCTAGCCCCAGGTCAGCATGGGCCAGACTAGCCCCCGTCCCCTTGCTCATCATTAGTGTTCACTGCTATTTTATTAAACTGCACTGCTAAGGGGCAGCCGACTCCAGGCCTCAGGCAGACACCCATCCTGGCTCCCCTACTGGCCACTTCATTCATTTGTATAAAACGGGTAACAGCAGTATTTTAGAGTAATCGTGGAGATTGAGAATACGGCCATAAATGACTTAGACATGCCCAGCTCAAGGAAGTGCCTAGTAAATGAGTGTTATTACCACTGAGTAGGGTAGCCAGATGAAATACAGCATGCCCAGTTCAATCTGAATTCCGGAAAAACAATAAATTTAAGTATAAATATGTTACCAAGTATTACACGGAACATACTTACACTAAAAAAAAGTACTGTTTATCTGATAGTCAAATTTAACTGGGTGTCTTTTTTTTTTTTTCTCCTAAATCTGACAACCCTACATTGAGAGAGAATTCACAAATCCAGAAGCCTCTGTCTCCCAGCCTTGGACTAGCCCCCTCACTCCCACAGCCAATCCAGACCACTGGCCTCGTGTGCAGGGCCTTGGGGGCGGAGGCACGCCAGAAAGCCTGTTTCCTGGAGCGCTTTGAGTCCAAAACTAGATCCACTTTGTACCTGCCTTGAGATCTTTCTTGCTCCTTTCTATCCTTGATCTCCTCGGTCCTTTCTTGCTTTGATTTCCTTATCTGTCCAGTGATAATCTGTTCACTGATAATCCTCACCTCACTGGCTACTCAAAAGGAGTAATAATGATATACTAATAGCTATTGAGCAACTCGACATTGATCGTTTCAATCAATCCCATCAACAACCTTAGATACAAATTATAATTATCCCAATTTTACAGCTGAGAAAATTAAGGCTTGGAGAAGTTAAAGATGTTGCTCCTTCTTCCCCCCAGGGAAGCCATCTCTCTTTCCTGCCTTCACTCTTCTTCCTTCCTAACCTCCCCACTCTAGTTCCAGCCTGTGGCCTCCAGGGCATGGGGTCAGGTTGAACCACAGCTCAGACATCAGGACTGTCTCTGCAGCACCAACCTGTCACTGCCATGCCATTTGCAAATTGATCTCATGGAACACCTTCCAAGTAGGAGCCAGCACTTAATTCGGCCTTCCCCTTATTTCCTATCTTATCCAACAAATGCCTTGCAGAGTCTGGATTATGAGGCTGGCTGCAGTGCTGGCTATGAGGCAGCACAAGTGGCAGGTTGAGGATCTGGCTTCATACTCCTGTACTTCAGGCAATGGGTTTTGAGAAGCCAAGATGAGTACAGTCTAGAACCAAGGTCCTAGTCACTGGGCCCAGATGAGCACCATTTCTGACTTATGAAAGAAATCCTTCCGTCGTTCCCAGGCCAGACAAATGTAACAATAATTCTCACACGAATCCATTTTAAGGAATTTGGTGTAAATGAATCAAGCACAAAGTTTTCCAGACGGTGGGACACTTATTTGAGTGTTCCATTTTTCCCAGTGCCAATTTTTCCAAGCGTAATTTCTTTACTCGGTGCCAGTCTCTGAGGTAGAATTCCCAGACTGGTATCATAAAAGCTAGTGTGTTCCAATCTTAAACACACCCAGGACTGGATGCTGTTCCTCAGATTGGTGGGACCTTGGGGTCGAGTCCCAGCTCTACTGTTTGTGATTGATGAGGTATCTCTGGCAGCCTGCTGGCCTTCATTAGGGCAGATTTGATGCCAGCGTCCCTCTACCCAGCTCCCAAGATGTTGGGAGGACAAATGAGGTCACTTATGGCAGCACACACAAAACAGCCCAATGTAGTACACTAACTGTACTATTCTGTCCTTGTACAAGATTGATTTATCTACTGGGGCAAGATTTCAGGTAAAAAATGAACTGCCTATTCTTCACAAATCTTTACTTCACCCAGGAGGAGGGTTCCTGAAATTTAGATTAAACCCACTGCTGTCAATTCCAACTTATAGTGACCTTATAGAACAGAGCAGGACTACCTCATAGTGTTTCCAAGGCTGTAATCTTTACGGAAGCAGCCTGCTACATTTTTCTCCCACAGAGCAGCTGGTGGGTTCAAACTGCTGACCTTTCGGTTAGCAGCCGAGTGCTTTAACTACTATGCCACCAGAGCTCCTTAAGTCTCCCTTAGAGATCTACAAAACCTGTAACAAATTTTTACTTAAGAAATCATAGCAGGGGACTCTAAGGCTTTCCTGTAATGGTCCCCCACTCATCTGTCTACAAGTCCATCCATCCTCAGGCCATTCATCCACCTACCTGTTAGCACTGAGTAGGTGCCAGGTGCTGGAGGGACTGACAAGGGGTGAGGCTGGGTGGTGTCCTGCTCTCAGTCTTGCACGTGGCTCAGCACACTTTCCTACAGCTTCGCTGGTAACTTCTGACCCAGCCCTCCTGGGGCTTGAGAAGTGATGTTGCCCAAAGCTAAGGATCACAGAGTTCGTAATAAGCCTTACAAACTTCTCTTGTGTTCTACGGATCTGCTCCAACCCACAGAAAGTCTAGTTTCCCCTGAAGTCCCAGGCGTGATCTGAAGTGGGACTTCTAGTACGAGACTTAAGGAAGTGGCGCTGGCGAGGCATTACCTGAGAGCTTTCAGGGCCCAAGTCTGGGGAAGTGGGTGTTGTGCTGTCACCTCCCTTCTGTGCACGACTTCACCTGGGTTTCACCACATCGAAGTAGTGAAACCCAGGTGAAGTTGTGCATGACAGGCTAGTAAGTAAACACAGGTAAGCCCGTTTGTACCCTGCTTACTGCATAATCCCTCCTGGCAAGTGTTCCAGCCGAGAAACAGGTGTGAGCCACCAAGTCAGCCTTCATGAATGAATATTCAACAGGCCCCCACAGGATGCCCAGCACAAATTGGGCACCCAGGAAAGATAGCTGATTCCTGTGTACACGTGATGCATTAACAAAATGCTCCGACAGCAACAGATAGCCAAGTGCCACTGAATTCCTCAAATACAAATTTGACTTTTAAACTTTTTCTTTTTTAAATCCAGGATCAAGACCACAGACAATTTATTATGTAAGACATGGGGTGAAGGATGACCAAGAAAAGGTATGGCTGTGAGTGACAGGGAAGTAGATGAAAAGGCTCAAGTCTGCTGAAGAGAGTTTAAATTTGGCTTTTGCTCTTGGAAATGTCAAAATAATCATAAGCAGCACTTATGCCTTACAGGGCAAATAATCCACAGAGTGTCATTTTCATTTTGCAAACAGGGTCACAATAGCAGTCAAATATAAGCCTACACACCCAGGAGTTAATATACAGGTTCGGTAAGACATAACAAGGGATTTTAGCATGCTGGTGGGTTTTTAAATTAAATCCATATTGAACTCTGTGACCTAATGAAAGTTATAAGTGAAACCTGGGGAAAGCAGCTTTTCCATACAAAACAACAACGACAACAACAACAAAGAAAACCCCAGACTCTGCTGGATATCTATAATACTCATTTGCAGTAAGGCTTTCAAGATACATGAATTTTTATAGCATTTGTATTTTAAGGATTTAGGGCAAATACATTTTTTTTTTCTACTTGATAAAAAGAAAATTAGTACTTAAAAGGTTCAAAAATATATCAATTGAGTGATTTTTTTTTTTTTTACATAAATAAATTATATTGATTTTTAGGATTTAACAGCTGAAAAAACCCTTTCCGCTTCCACTGGAGGCAAAAACTGAACAAAATGTTAGTTAAATAGAGATAGCAGCATTTCTAAGAAATCTGTTGTCAGCACTATAGATCATCTATGCTACAAGGATGTCATTAAATAGAATTTGTTCAATTGCTGGATTCTTTTCTATATGATCAGTTATGGAATTTCTGGTTTATGTCTCCGATTCATAAAACTGGGACTCCACTTTCTGAAAATACAGTTAATTGATTTTTTTCGGTCACAATTTAACAGACTTCTTTGAGATGCTCATTTTAACATTTACATAATTTATAATCCCAAATGTATAAAAGACAATGACAAAAGCATCATAAATAAATAATGCAAACTGAAATAGTTATGTCAAACTTTTGGACCTTCTGATAAATTAGCAAAACCGTAACAGAAAAAGTAAAAAACATAGTAAATTGTGACAACAAAAGTGAAACTGATACTAGTAACACTTCCAACCGCCCCGCACAGGCCTGCGCCCTTGGAGTACTCAGCCACAAGCTGATTTCAAGTCTCTGAGTATCAATAAAGAATAAGACTATCTGAAGGGATGTGAAATGAATGGGAGGACCAAAGAAAACGGGAACAAGGGCTGCTTGAGCGGGTTCTTCCCAGTCATGTTCCTAAACATGGAGACGCTGAAGAAGAGAAAAGAATACTAATGTGCAACACAATCTCAACCAACTTGATAATCTGGAACTTGGGTCCAACTGTAAAACATAAACAGAACAGAGAAGTAATGGCAAGAAGAAAATACTTTTCACAGTTGTATTATAAAGGTGGTGCACACATGTTTGGACAACCTTAGATAACCTTGACAGAAGGACCTAACAAGCGTAAAAGTGTTGACTCATTTCTCGCAGGCTCCAGAAGAGCATTATTCTTGGTGAAGGAAAGCGCAAAATAAAGGCCCATTAGGTCCCGGTGTTCTTTAAACACAGGCAAATGTACTGACTACAGAAATTCTGAGAAGGCGGTGAGAGGATGTGAGTCGTGTGCTTGTGAAGCACGTGCAGCTCCACGGAGCATGAACCCCTCCGCCCCGTCCCTGGCACCGGCCATAACTCAAGGTGTGTAAAGCTTTCTCAGATTGAGAATCGTCTCTTAACTTGGGGGGAGGAGAGATTAACGCATATATACAAAATAATGCCTAGTCAGTATTTCTTCTTGCTGCAGGTGTCTGAAAAACCATGAAGGGGGAAATTATATTATTACCAGTAAGGTTTTTGTTTTGTTTTTTTATAAAGAAATGAATATATGTATTTTCAACCATTAGTTATTTACTCGTCTATACTACTCATTTAGTAATCATGATAAAATAGGGAAATATTTCAACTTAAAAATACACACCAGCACTTCCCTTTTCTGTGCTTTTTGGTTCCCCCATTCCATTCTTCCCATTCAACACAGCCCACAGTGAAAAGAGCTACTCTTGGTCTCTGTTCTTCAGCCCTTCAATGGTAAGTTCCCTAGACAGCTTTCTTTTGCCATTTCTCCTCAAATAAATGGGAAACTTGGAAGAGAAGGAGGTGGGGCGCGTCACCAAGTACTGTATTAACTATGATTGCTGGAATGAACAACTGGATAACAGAATGAGAATTCTGTGCCTCCTAGACTAGTAGACGACACATATCTAACGAAGTGGCAAGACCCTGCAACTATTAACATCTGTTACAATAGTTTTCAGACAGGAAATTAGGTAGGTAATATTACTTATGGAAACACAGGTTCTTATGAAGGTGAAGTGAGGGAAATAACAAACCTTTATGGGATAAGAAACTTACAAGTCACAATAATTTTTCCAATGAAAAAGGTTCTAATTGGTGTTGTTGTTGGAGTCTTTGGGTCCTCCGTCCCCAGCCTGTGCCACATGTTCTCTGTCTGGGGGCAAAGGTGCACTGGCTTCAGTGCAGTTCTGATTGCTGCTGGGCTCCCTTTCAGACCTGGGAGCAGGCTCTGGGTGGGGGTGCGGGTTGTCCCCTTTTGTTTTCTTCTTCTTCCTCTTCTGGCTTTCCAGACCTACGAATTCAGAGTGTCTGGCCTGCTGCAGGGTAGGCAGAGCCATGCCCATGCCAGGGGAGAGAAACATGGATGGGTAAATGAGTCCAGGAGACACTCCTGGGATAAGAAATGGGTTAAAAGCCACAGGACTACTCGTAGTTATTGCAGGTTCAGACTGATCAGAAAATGGACTAGGACCAGGCTTGTCTTCAGCTAAAGTATCTGTTTTTACATCACGGCTACTTGGCTTGTCTTCTGCAGTCTTTTCGGTCACCGCCGTACCACTTTTTGTTGTGCTTGATAAAGACGCTGGAGCAGGTGAAGTGCAGGTAGTTGTCATGGGCGTATTGAGGAGTCCCCCAACACCAAACATCTGGGGCACTGTGGCCATTCCCGGCAGCATCATGGGTAGCATGCTCAAGGTGCTTTTGACATCTTCGCCTGTAGGCATTGTGGCAAAGCCAGCTGGAAACCCAACCAGCCCAGTGAGTGGGATGCCTGGCATATTTCTCATGTTCTGAAGTCCTACCAGGTCCATCCCAGCAATCAGTCCGTTCATGAACAGTGGCCCCATTCCAGAAGGAGAGTCTGTCACAATGGCAGGAGCTTTCAGGAGCTCGCTCCGAGGCCGCCTCCCCCTCCTGCGGGGGCCTGCATCTCGAAGAACAGGCTCAGTCAGGGAGTGATTGAACTTGTTTTCTGGGAGAAAGCCCTGAAAATGGATGAAGAAACACAAGATGCGGACGGTTACTAGACAGCAGGCAATCTGCCAGGGCGACGACCAAGCCTCTGCACCAGCCTATCCTGTCCCCCAGCTCAATGAAGCTCCCAAAGCAGGAGTGCTTCCTGCCCACCCACCCAGAGGTCGAGAGCATTTGGTGGCACTAGCACAGTCACTGTGCCTGTCACCACCAACCAGTGCTTCCAACATGCTCCCTAGGCAAAGGCAGTGTCTGCCCTGTGGAGAGCCTGTCAGAGCATTGGGAGCTGAAGACAGGTACTAAAGACGTCTTCACCAGACCCCAACATTCATCTTCCACAAGACACAGGAAAAATTGTTAACTGAAGCAACAAAACAGAGTAGGTAAGATACAGCTTTGGAGTCAGACAGACCTGAGTTTACACCCTGATCTGCAACACCCTGGCCATGGGACTTGGGCCAGGTCAGTTAACCTCTCAGTTTCCATAAAAAAGGACAATAATACCTATCTTCTTTGGTTTAGTGCACGACCTGATGCATAGGAAGAAGTGCTCACTAAAGGGACACTTATTAATTGTGAGCATGAGCTCCTGGAGGCAAGGATTCTGGTATGCAACAAGACCCATACATGTCTGTTGAATAAACGAAGGGATTCTGGAATACTGTTGGGGAAATATCATCAAAATAAGTGATGTTCTGGCTTCCTTTAAGGGAAAGATCTCCAATTTTCTTAATTAACAAGAAGTTCTATAGTTAAACACTTCTGTTCCACATGGATTAAACTGTGATTATGCCGGGGACTTACAACTATACTTGCATACGGATCATCTGGTTTGTGCATTTTAATACTTAACCATCACACACCAGGAAGACTACCCTCTTTACATGGTGGAGTGGAAAGCGCTAGGCTGTGGCTCCACGCCTCCTCCCGCTGTGACCTTGGCTCAGCTCTGTAAGGCATGAGGACATAGCGGAGAACAAGAAACACACTTCTCTTGCCCTCCTGGAGCTTAGAGTTCATTCTAGTGGTGGAGAGAGATAATTAAACCACTGCCATTATGATGTCTCTAACTCTGAACATGTTTCAAACATGATATGAATAATCCCCATATAAAGGGAGAAATGTTTTCCCTACATAAAGGGAGAAATTTCGTTCAGGACCTAGTGCTTCAAATCTCTCTGTCTCAGCCCCGGATAACTTGTGCACCTTTTTCTCTTTCTACTACCCTCCACCCCTTCTCATTGCTATTGTTTATTTAAAATTAGATTTTTTTAAATCAAGGTAATACATGCATACAGTATAAGAAAAAGTCAAATTATACTCCTGCTGTTGAACAGTCTCAGTCTTTTTTGTACAGAGAAGTGTTAAAAAAACAATAATTCCCTGTGGGGCCCCTTTCCAGGCCACACTGAAAGTGAAGTAGCTCTAACGTTCCAGGATTCTCTCTTACGGTTACTGTTATAAGGCTGGCATTATTTTACCACTTTCTCTTTGATCACGGCAATGGTGAGGTTAAAGATGTTCAGAGTGGCTTCAATGGATCTTTCAACAATGGATTTGCACTGAAGACACAGCATGTCATTATGGGTGAAGTGGGGAGGTGGCAGCACTTAGAGAGTGTGGCCAAACAGGGTCACTGCTGAGCAGCATGAGGTGGGAGAGCTCAGTAGTGAGGCTACAGGGCCGCCAAAGCTGGAGAAGCCCACACTTCTCTACTAGCTGCATCTGCTGCCTTCTCAGGATTCTCCCTTCCTGGAAGAGTCTGGAGTGATGGGGAGCAGGGATGTGGCAAGAAGCCGCCAAGACTCAGCCAGCCCACAGCCTCCCTGTCTTTGAGGCTCTTAAGAAAAGAGGTACAGCTCTCATTAGAAGACACCAGATGGGCCAGAACCATCCTTTATTTTAGGAGAAAGAAGCCAGAGAAGCTAAGGATACCTGAGGGCTGAGATTAGCAGCCAGGTCTTAGAGCAGTTAGGACTTCTATTTACAATCTTGCCAAGGACACCGACTTTGAACTTTAATTCAGTAACTCTGGCTTTTCCCATTTGTTTCACTGCCTCTCTTCTCCCATGACTATTAAAGAAGCAAGATCCTGAGAAAACTGACAGAACCCTGCTTAAGAGGCAGCAGTAAAGACAGGGCTCGTTGGTGACACTGGTTTCAGGCTCCCAGTGAGCTGTGAGAAGATACGCTCAGCCCACAGTTCCTGACGGCAGCTTTTCACTTGTGTGTAGCAGGCTCCAGAATGAGAAGCAGCTGGGATGCGTGGATTTGCCCATGGTAGTGAGGGTCAAGCAGCAGGGGGAACTGGTTATTAGTGGTGATAATGAAGGTGGTGGTGACAAAAGGAACAGCAGCAGGGGTAAAGACCCACAAAACCCACTGCTGTCGGATCGATTCTGACTCATAGCGACCCTACAGGACACAGCAGAACTGCCCATAGGGTTTCCGAGGCTGTAAAATGTTACAGGAGCAGACTGCCACATCTTTCTCCCGCAGAGCGGTTGGTGAGTTTGAACTGTCGACCTTTTGGTTTGCTCTTTAACCACTGTGCCACCAGGGCTCCTTGCAGTAAAGACAGGCACCATTTAATAAGCATTTAGTATGTGTCAGGCACCATGCGAAGAGCTGTAGCTGCTTTATCTCATTTAATCACCACATCAACCCCGTGGAGTCGGTACCATTATTACACCCATTTTACAGAGAGGTAAGTAACCCACTCAAGGTCTCAGATATTTAGTGGGCCAGAAGGAGGCTGGGCATAGGTATGTCTGAGTCCAGAGCCCTTGGTTTCATCCAAAGCAGACAATGTCTCCAAAATGGTTTCCAGAGTGTCAAGTCCAATAGGTACTATGACTCCTTCCCTCTAATCCCAAGAAGTAATTCCTTGAAGTGTGAAATTTTTCATCCCTTTCCCTCCTGAGGCAAACAGGAGGCAAGGGCAGTCCAGCATTCCAGTTGAGACACCCTGACTACCTAGCTCAGTGACAGGGCAGCACAGGGCAGGAGACTGGTCCAGCAAGACCACTTGATCTTGATTTCTCTGAAGCAGTGGCACAGGGTCTCCTTTTATCTTGCTGCCTTTCGTTTCATGAGCTCTTGAGCCTGTGAAGCCTGCTGCGTGTAGCTGGTAGGACAAAGGGGTAACACTCCACCTCTCTCGGTGCTCAGCTGATCAGTCCATCCACCTGCAACAGTATACTTCCCCAAAGTATGCACAAGTCAATTCTCTTACTGATGGTATCACGGTTCTACCAGCACAATTATGTCATCTTATTGTATTATACAGAATGAGACTTTGGATTCATAGATACGAGAAGACGTAAGCGCTTTTCAGTGTTCCTGAGTCCCTGGAAATAATGTTATTTTTGAAATTCCCAAAGAATATTCAAGAAAAAACAGTCGGGGGCAGAAAGGCTTTATGACAGCCAACTTTGTTTGACTGAGGAGAAAACTCATCTGAAAAGGATCACAGAACTGGGAGAAATCTCAGAAACCGTCACGTTTAATCTTCCTTCTTTTTTACTAACAGGGACACTGAGTCCTAGAGAGGGGCAGGGCAGAGCGGGGCTAGAACTCAGGACTGTCCATGCACCACCCAACCCCACCCTATACCCCTCTTATTCTCACACGTGACTAGACACCTGCAGTTTGCTAGGCTGATTGGTCCTAGAGTGTGCCGGCACAACTGCCACTTCTGGCTCTGGGGTGATCGCCTGGGAAGAATTCCCGGCTAGTTCCTGCTTCTAAAGAGAAGACACGAGGACCCAATGGACTGGGGCCAGCTAAAGCATAATTTCTCAACAGTCTTTTTGGGCTCATCACTCTGGCTGTGTATACCTTGCAGTCTCTGGTCCTTGCTGGTCACACCATCTCAGCCCAGGGCCTTGGGCCAGGGTAACCACAACTGGACCACAGGCTTTTCCAAGCCCTCTTCCCTGCAGCCCATCCACAACCAAGAGCCAGGGAAAGGTGCCGGGGAGTTATCTTTTTCCTTTATATCCACAAATATTTCCTTTACACCTATATTCTCAGGTGGGAGGGGCATGTTCAATCTCAGATGTCTTTCTGTTGGGAAGATAACAAACCCAGAGCTTGATGAATAATGCCTTCACTTTATTTTCAAACAATCTGCTCTAAGTCAGACCTCCTTTAACATACTTGACTTTGGGTTACTACAGTGACAGCACAGACCAGCCCTCCTTATCAGGTTACCCATTTAGGACAGGATCACTCACTCAGGACCAGCCTGCGCCCTGCAGGACTTCTGGCTCCCTGGCCCGGCTCACTAAGTGCAAGCAGTACTCCATAGGCATTGGGACACCCTAAACTGTCCCTGCCCTGCCCTGGCTGAGAACCACAGATGTCAAGGCAATGCTGGGTCCTTTCAGAAATGAGAACTTGCCAAGAAGGCGTAAACTGGTCTTCTCCCCTTCAGATCTGGAGAGCAGTAGCAGAAAGGCCCTGGGGGTAAGAGAACAGTTTCTCCATCCATAGCACAGCAGTAAGAGTGCTGGCAAAGGAAGTCTGCTTTAACCGCTTCCTGTGGGGGGGAGTCACTCTAGCAACCCAGCTGTTGCCCACCCTAGTTAGGTGCCCCTCCCAGCAGCTCTGCGACCACACACAGCGGCCAAGATGGGCTTTGGCAGCCTTCCCTCCTGGTAATTATACCCTAGGAGCAAAGCTACTTCCTCTTCCAGGAGAGGTCTGGGTAAAGGGCAGAGAGACTAAGGAAAAGGAGACTCAGACCGGAGTCTTGCTCTCCCAGAGATCATATGGGCACTCCACCCCAAGAAGAACATGTTCGTAAGGACATGGTGGCATTTATTCCAAAGCCTGCATGTTCCCAATTCTAAAACTTAACTCTTGGGTAGAGGTTAAGAAGAGTAGTGACCAGAGCTTCCCTACTCTGGCATAGGAAGGTGAGTAGGCTCATCCAACAAACATTCACTGAGTGAAGAGACCTAACAACCAAAAGTAATGTGTGGATTCTAATTTTAAAAAATTTAAAAATAAAACAAAAACCACCTATAGAAGACATTTTGGGGACAGCTGGGGAAATCTGAATATGGGCTAGATATTAGGTATTACAAATTATTATTAATATCCACATATGTGGTAACTACCACCCATCTGTAGTAAATGCCAGCAGGGTCACCCATGGTGGACAGGTTTCAGCGGAGCTTCCAGACTACGACTAGGAAGAAAGGTCTGGTGATCTACTTCTGAAAATTAGCCAATGAAAACCCTATGGATCAGAATACAATACTGTCTGATATAGTGCTAGAAGATGAACCCCATAGATTGGAAGGCACCCAAAATACACACTGCCCACAACAATGGACTTGAGCATACCAACAAGTGTGAAGATGGTGCAGAACATTTTGTTCTGTTATACATGGGATTGCCATGAGTAGGCGCTGACTCTACAGCAAGCAATAACAGTGTAGGCAAACAAAGTGTGCTAGTGGTAATGGTTATGTAGGAGAACATACTTCTCAGCAGATGCATACTCAAGTATTCAGGGGTGATGTGTCATATCTCCAATTCATTGTCAAGTTGCTCAGCAAAAACAAACAGACCAAAAAAATATATATACACACACACATATATTAAAAAAATTTACATATATAAAATATATTGTGTGTGTGTGTGTGTGTGTGTGTGTGTGTATCTTTAATGAGCAACCACTGTGGATGAGGCATTCTGAAAGTTTAATTCTACACCCAGCCAAGCCACAGCACGCATAGCAGAAGGGACGTGTGAGCTTGAAGGAAGGAAGAAGTTCCATGTGGGATTTTGTTTCTGAAAAATGGGAGGGTTTCTGAGGGGCAGGAAATAGGTGGTGGAAAGAGAGCAGCCCACACTTGCAGGCTCCCATCCCAGGAAGAGCTGTGTGGGCACACGGAGGTGAGGGGAACAGGCCTGGAACCGAGCAGAGCATCACTGTCAGGCCATGGTGGCTTTTCCACTGTTGACAGGGCTGAGCAGCTCTGTGGATGAGGTGGACAAGTGCTTCCTGTCCGCCAAGGCAAGAGCCTTACTGCAGGAAAAGGGCCTCCAAGGCAGGGACTGTGTTTATTTAACAAAGAAGGGAAAGTGCATCTCTGGTAAGAGGTTGGCTCGCAAGAACGGCCTAGAAATTGGTTTTCTGGCAAGGGGTCAGCGTGTGCAGGGGAGTGATGAACATTAATTTCCAGAGAACATGAGGGAAACTGTTAGACATGTAGAAAGAAACGAGAAAGCCAAGGGGGAAACCACGTGATTTTTTGGACATGCCCAACAGAGACTATAACACAGCAAGAACTGAACTGAGACACCATGCACTAAGACAAAAGGGAAATGTGGGGTAGCAGGATGAAAGGGCTGGACAAAGACAGAAGGGATACAAACTGAAGCTGAATCACCTTGCATAGCACAAGCAAGGACTAAGAAAAAAGCTGTTAAGCACATTGTCCGAGAATAATTCAAGAGAGGAGGAAAAAAGGCAGCGCTTCTAACGTGACAAGCTTTCTAGCAAGCAGTTCACCCAGGGGTTGGGTCTCTCCAGCAGAGTGGCTGTGGTAGTGGATGAAGATGAGAGAGAGCAGTTACCTGTTTGCAGAGCTGCTAGAAAAGTAATAATCTAGGTAACAAAATCAGAAACAAGTCTGTGGAGAACATTAAATAACTTCTTTCTGCACAAGAAGGAGGAAACGACTAGGGTGGGTGGTCTTTTAGAGCTAAAAAAACAAATCACATTCAGGCAATCCCACTAAGAAGGGAATTAATACCCAAGGAAAGATGTAGCTGGGCAGATGGCAGAATACTGGAAAGAAAGTATTCAGGAAAGCCTATAAGTTTGTGGAACAATCTGGGAAGAGTAAGCTTCCTATCTGGGGAGAATGCACTTTTAGGAAGTTAAAAGCACATTTTCGTATAATTAGCCCAAGCTCAGCACACTTTCAAGCTGAAACGTTATTACCGCCCCCTAGAGGTTGTAAATTTTCTATTCCAAATTTGTACTCATCTGTAAACTATAATTAACTCAGATTCGTTACACTAGAAGTATTTTGCAGATGTCTTTGAAGTCCCTTCCAGTCTTATGATTCTATAATAGGAAAGGAGCAGTGCTTGGAGTCAGCTGTTTTTCATTTCCAGTGAAGATGGACTAGGAGGAAATGTCTTCAATAGTAGCCAGAAAAACTTAGACTAGAAAATGAAAATTTCCAGTAATGAAGTTTGTTGAACACTGGAAACAGACTCCTGGCGAGGGTTAAGTTTCTTTACCATTGTAACTTGCTACAAATAGCGGGAAGAAAAAATCAAGCTTTAGGAATGGTTTAAGTACAAACAGTTTTGGAGGTAAGGGTTGAAAATGAAGGAGCACAGGAAGTCACACTGTTGCTCGAAAACCTCCCAGCATCACTATTTATCAAATTCCCCAGTAGGCCTATTGGCAAATGTGGCCTGGCTACCCATCTCCCAGCTGAAGCTTCCCTTGAGTTGGCAAGGCCTGGCTCAACCAAAGACACTGTTGTGCTCCCGTCCCTGTTTCTTACCCTTGGTCCTGGCTCCTTGGGGACAGCAGGAACCCTCTCTTCTCCATTCAGAAAGTTAATGTCTAATTTTCCAGGTTCCTTACAACGTGGCCTCCTCTGCTTTGGTTTGTCTGAAAAATTCTAAAAGGCAAACAGAAACCAATATTACAAGGTATTCAGCTACAGATTCTTCTGATGAGCATGGTGCTTTTCAGCTGGTCTAGCTATTTTCTCACTAATGGCCCTCTGCACAGAGCCCGGCTGGAGGAACAGCTACATGGGCCTTGCCTAGGTTCTCTCTTTGAAGCAATGGTGCTTTTGCAGCAAGCTGGGAAACAGGTGGCCAGTGGGCTCAGGTCACCCAGATGGCTGTGCTAGCCCACAGGCCTGCTCCAGAGCAAACCACCCGAGCCGACCGATCAGTTTCCCAGGGTGCTGCTGAATCCCTAGCCTACTCCTCTCTATCATTTCCTCTGACTCTCTCTCCACCAGGGCTTCAACCTGTTTCATTCTGGTTTGACCCCCTGCTGAGAATCTGCATTTCCACACCAGATATATGGAATCAGAATCTACAGTTTAACAAGATCCCCAGGTGATTCTTACGGATACATCTTCATTGTAACAAGATCCTCAGATATACATATAAGAATCACCTGGGGATCTTGTTAAAATGTACATTCTGATTCAGTATATCTGGGGGTGGGGGGTGGTTAGAAAGGCAAATTCTCAGCTAGGGGTCGAACTGGAATGAACTGGTTAGAAGGCCTGCTCTCCACTGCTACCTCTTTGGTTGGCTTTGCCTGTATCTGGAAGGCATGCATCCTTTTCTTGCAAGCTCTCTACCTGTGTATCTTATTAGACAGATATACCCAGGACAATGACAACAGTAGAGTAAACGAGCAGATGAGAAGAAAAAACACAAGAAGAGACATCAGCATGTCTTCAAGGTCCTCAGGTCTTGCTCAGGTCTCAGTAAGATGTCTTGAAGGAAAAGTCCCAAAGCAGGAACTAAAACTTAGGCCCTCCCAAAAAATGACAACGTATTACCTTGAAAAGAATACACGAGAACAACTTCATGACGTGACAGAGCTTATGCCATCTGAACATTTCTCAATCAGCTTATAATGTTGTCTGGTTATTTTCTGGGGAAGGGGGGCTGAACTTAGGCAAGTTCTGTTCTTATAAGATTTGGCACAGTATTCTGACATGGGCTGCAACCCGTTACTGGAGAGTTTAAACTTTAAACTTCAAAACTTTTTAATTTAAAATGATGTTCTCAGTCAACCCAGATTTCTTCAAACAGCTTCCAACTTCCTAGTCTCTCTCAGTGTGTTCTTATCAAAAACTACAAGTTAGCAGGGAGTAAACAGTGGTGTCAGGCAGTGGCCACAGGCAGCAGCCACAAACACTTACTGTCCCAAAGCCAGGAACTTCTAAGGAGTAGTCGGACTGCTGCCTCAGCCAGTCAAGCAGACTCTTGCTGGGAATGGCCTTCTCGGCCTGGCTGCTGGCTGCTGTGACGGTTTCGGGTGCTGAGGTAGCAGGCACTGGCCCTTCAGGGTGTGTGGTGCTCAGGGTGGCCTGCCCTGGGTCCTCATGAACTTCCTGGATAAAGGCAAAATGAGTATGTGGAGTTAATCTGGACAGAATGAAAGCTAGTTTCTAAAAGGAAATCACATTGGATAAGGTGTTCTTCAAATCTTCCTATCTGTTTCCACACTAATACTGCTCTGCTGGCAATTATTCTGGATGTGCAAGCATCCTACCCACATTACTGACCCACACATAAGCTCTTGCACATATTGGACATTCCTTCCACCTGAATGCTCCTCTCTCCCTCTTGTCTACCTGGTAAACTTTTATTCCATCCTATCCGCTCAGATTCAGTGTTACCTCCTTTGTCACCATCACTGACTGTTCCAGGGTCCTCCCACAGAAAGAGAAATGTTCTCTTTCCCATAACAGAAAATGTCACACTGCAATTTACTTACTTGTCTATTTCTCCCTCTAGAGTTTGAAGGCCTGTCTCACTCTACTCTGTACTCCCAATGTCTATGATGAAGTCTACTGGTAAAGTGTCACGTCAGTACTAAATAAATGTTTGCATAATAAAATTAAGAAATACTCTGTCCTGGAGCCATGAAGGTTGGATGAACCCCTGAAACTACTGCCCTGAGATAATCTTAAACCTGAAACCAAAAATATCCTCTGAAGTCTTCTTAAAACCAAACAATAGTTCAGCTTAACTAATAAAAAACATCTGCCTTCAGTATTGTGCTCTTTTAAGCATTATCTACATGGGATCAAATTGATAACAGCAACTTGAAAGATTAGATAGGAACCTTAGGGGGCAGTGAATTTATGTTAATGGGGGAGGAACAACTCAGAGGAGGGTAAGAATGATTGTACAACTCAAAGAATGTAATCAATGTAACTATATGGTCTAGGTAGAAACTGCTGAATTGGTGTGTATTTTGCTGTGTATATTCTCAACAACAAAATAAATAAATACTTTCTGAGGTCAAGGAACAAAGTTTATCAGTCATTGCATTGGAATTCTATGGCCATTACAGAAAACTATGGCTTTGCACTTCTGAAAAACGAACAACTTTCTTAATTCTTAAAAGCTTGCTGGATTGGGCAGGGAAAGAATTTGCCACTTCAACTTCCCCAATTATAGAAAGTTTGAGAGGAAGACATACCCCAAACAATACAGTTCAGCAGTAAAGGACTCAGGCTGTAGAGACACAAAGTCCTTGGTTTGATTCCCTGTTCTGCCATTTACCAGCTGGGTAATCTTGGGCAAATTATTTAAAGCTCTTAAGCCTCAGTTTCCTCATCTATAAAATGTGAATAACAATAACACGTATCTTCACAGGGTTCTTGTGAGGATTAGACAGCAGAATCACACAAAACCCTGAACACAGTACCTGACACATAGCAAGCACTCGATAAATACTGGTTATTATTATTTCTTTTAAAATAAGAAAACATAAAATGTGATTCCTGTTATGGAGCTCAAAATCCAATAAACGGGAAAAATCAAAATACAAAGAGAATTCAGTGGTCTTTAACACATTAAGCAAACTCTAAAGGCGATCTCTTCTTGTCAGGTACACAGTTCTGACCTCTTCTGTTGTTTACAGTTGTTTCCTTTGAATTTACAACGGTTGTAGTTGGTAGGGAGCCCTCATGGCGCAATGGTTAAGAGCTTGGCTGCTAACCAAAAGGCCAGCAGTTCGAATCTACCAGCCGCTCCTTGGAAACCCAATGGGGCAGCTCTACCGTGACCGTCAGAATCGACTCGGCAGCAATGGGTTTGGTTTTTTTTTTTGGTAGTTGGTATGATATCAGGGAATCTTTACAGCAACCCTCTGCGGTAGATGCTGTGGCCCCACTTTACAGAGGAGCAAAGGGAAGCTCAATGGTGTACCCAAGGTCACTAGGTAAGTCAAGTAGTAGAACCAGGATAAACATTCAGGCATTTTGACTCTTGTTCCTTCTCTCATACCTCAGCTCCTAGAAAGCCTCACTAACGTGAAGAATTGCTGCTGCAAACTCAACCATGTTGTCTTGCTTACTCATTCTATCACCAGCGGCTCTTCCCAAAACACTGAGGATCTGGGTTGTTTCTATTTGAAATGTAAAGTCCTCCTGGCTCATTTCTCCAGGGTGCATGCAGATTAAGGGCCATAATGGATTAATACCTACCTATTTCTAATAACACCTCTCATTTCTAATAATGAGAGAGAAAATAAATAGGACAATTGTAATAGAGATAAAAGACCGTAAGTCAAAATATTTTGTGTCTGAGGAAGAAGAGTTTGTTTCTCAGTGTAGAAAGGTCAGTGTATTTACTTAAAAGCCTCATATACCCACCAAGATTCCCGCCTGAAGTGTTTGCTCCTTCAAAAAGATGAGATCCATCCCTCCTTCAACATGTTTCCGTCTCCCTCTCCGCCTCCTCGTGGCAGCATCATCTCTTCTAAGGCTCCCGTTGACAATCTGTCCGGTCACTGGATGGATTAGACCAGCCTGTAGAATCCCAGACAAGTCCATGCCAAGAGCTCCTTGAAGCGAACTGATTGTCCCAATCTTAGGGGTGCTGGCGCTCACTGGGAAAGGAGATGTGGCTCCTGGGGACCCCTCTGATGTGCAAGAGAGGTCTATAGCTGACTCCCCATGCCAGCCATTGAGGACAATAGGGGGGTGCCCATGGGTGGCAGAGAACTGTTCCAAGCTCCGGGCCTTTGCATCCCTTTCCACTTCAAACTCATAGGGATGTCTGTGATGTTGCTCATCCTTTGTGAATACTGGAGCCAAGAAGCTCTCCTGTGAACACACATATGTGGCAACAGAGGTTTCAATGTCGCGTCTGTGGATGAATCCTAGCTCTTTGTCCAGACCTAATTCCCCTGGGGCTAGTATTATTTCTAATCATCTTCTTAGAAGTTCTTCTAACTCAAGGTTTCTCATACTTTTGTACAAAATCATCGGGATATGCTGTTAAAATGCAGATTCTACTTCAGTGGGGCTGACGTCTGCATTTCTAACAGGTTCCCAGATGCTGCCTAAACCTGCTACTTCAGAGACTTCACTTGGAGTTGCAAGGTTATAACTCGGTGATTCTCAATCTTATTAGTACAGTGAAATCACTTGGGGATACCCAGGCCATACCCCAGACCAATTAAATAAGAATCTCTGGAGGTGGGACCCAGGCATCAGTAGCTTTTAAAGATCCCAGCTGATTCCAATGTGCAGTCAAGCGTGAGAACCAGTGTGGAAAACTTATCTCAAAACTCATCCTCTCCCAGAGAAATGCTCATTCCTGTCTTGATTTCCCTAATTTCTGTCAGCTGCTATCATCCTCGTGCTGATTTATTCATGTGTCCCTTTTTTAAAATAATGTATTTATTAATCATCAAGTTCCATCAAGTGATCCTTGCCAATTTTTTGCCCCATTTCTTGGATTCACTGTGTCACTAACCTATAGTCTAGACCCTTCTCTCTTTCAACAGTTCCCCACTCGGCCTCCCAGCCTCTGAGGTACTCTTCTCTCCTGCCCCTCACCTCCCATGCCAGCCTGCACATCACCCCAGATGAGCTGTGAAAACCCTGCTCTCATCACACATTCCCCTGCTCCAAAACTTTTAACGGCCCTCCACCTCCTACAGGATAAAGTCCAAATTCCTCAATTCACACTAATGGCTTTACCAAAAAACCCCCATCTATTCGGTTGAATATTTGTTGCATGGACGACTCAGTCAAGAAGTACAAAGTGCCCACCGTTCTTTGTTTCATGGCTAACACCACACTTACGGCCTCACCTTCTGGATCTGGGCCACCAATGCTGCGCCATTGCTGAAGCCGTGCTCTGACGCTTCCGGCTCGGAGAGGCTGTTCCGAGAACCAGCACTGCTGGCTAATACAGGGGTGGGCAGTGTACCCGAGGGCTCATACTGCTGACTGGAGGGCCACTTTCCCTTCAACACTACATGGCAGATGTTATCTAGGCGGTTAATTATCACACGATCCTATAAAAAAGGACATTAGTTCTGAAGGAGTACCAAGTTACCCAAATTCACAAAGTCCCTGAGATCAAGGATCAAGATTTCTAACCAAAAGGAGTTAATTAGAAAAGGATTTGAATGAGTACTCAAATGTACTCACTTCATAAGCCTTAAAATAAAATTCACTGGGCAGTCTGGACAGTAAAAATCAAAGCCAGACGGCTGTAAATATGAGGACAATTTGGTACTATTGTCTTACGGTGTAATTAGTCAAGTACATATACCTTCAGTGTTCAAATGTTACATAACTAATACCTTTTTAAAGATACCAAACATTTCTCCAAACTTGTTACTCAGAAATACTCTGAAAGGTTTAAAATAAAGGATTCAAAACTGCAAATGCTAAGGATGGACAACACAAGGTCTGGGAGGTACCTTTGGCCACTCCGAGAAGGAGTAGAGGGTTTTTTCCTGTAGCAGCTGAGCAATGGTGGGAGCCCGCACCTCCTGTAGGTCATCCGTGACGTCTCCCGCAATGCCTGATGTTGAGCTCTTACTCTCCTCTTCAGAGTATCTCCCTGGATAATCTGGGAAGAAATGTTAAAAAAAAAAAAGAAAAAAAAATGAGGAAAAATAATAATTGTTCTTGAAAAGAGATTTATAAATAGGAACCTAATTAATAAATTTCATTATTGTCTTCTTAAAAAAAAAAGGAAAATTAGGCAGGTGGAATACAATAGTGATCTGAATAACCAGCACATACAATCTGTCTTTTTTTTTAATTAGCCCATTTTGAGCTAATTTATTTTAACATTAAGTATCATACTTTCAATTTGCAGAAAAACCACATTAGTTAATCCATAAAGGCAAACCCTGCTCTAGGGCTACCAATGTTGTCATCTGATACAGTTTTCATAATAAAAGACACTCCGCAATAAAGCAAATAGAAAGGAAAATTTTCTTTGTATCCAACAGCAAAAGGAGATGAATGATCACAGAGGCTTTTCACATTTGGTGTCATGGACAGGAGGCACATGGACATAATACTTACAAACAAGATTTAAGAAGAGGCAACATTTTTTTGAAGGGACAATCTATGAGACGTAATACAGCAAGAGGCTGATGAAGGATGAAGTCATGAAACGTATAAGGAACAAAGGTAAAATAGACTCTGATTCATGTTAAAAACAACATAACGAAACCTAGAACATTTAAATTATTCTCTGATGGAAAGAAATGCAACTCATTCAAGCTTCAGTAGTGGTGAAAGTTTATCATCAGTGTGATACAAAGACCCACTTACCAGTAATGACAGGGAATGAGCAGGCAGTAAATGCCCAAGGCAGAAAAATTTATGGACCGCTTTTCTTGATGAAATGACAAGGAATGCCTGCTCTCTGAAAGTGGACATTTCTGACTGTGCAACCAGGGCTTCAAACTGATTCTTCCTGGTTCAACCACGGCTGAGAAAGCGACGCTGGAACAGACCTGAATTTTTAAAATCTGAGTGAACCAGAACCATAACCAGAACAGGAAAAATTACAGGCTGCATCCCTGCTAGAAACTTATTCTCCCACTCAGAAAACAAGGGTGGTGTACACGTTGCATAGCAACCAAATCTCTTGCCCACTGTATTTTGTGCAGAATCTGAAACAGTGGTGGCTCACACAAAGATGGCGGCGCTGCTATGAATGGGTGTCACTCTCCTCAGTTCTGGCAATAATCCAGTCTCATGCATCAGGCTCCTAAAAGGGCTCACTATGTCTCTTCTGAGTCTTCCAATCCAGGGCTTCAACCTGCAATTTTTCCTGTTCTGGTTATGGTTCTGGATCACCCTAACTTAAAAAATTCAGGTCTGTTCTGGTTTCACGTCATCAGGCATGACTGAGCCGGATGGAAGCCCTGGGTGCAACGAGTCTCCCAGGGAGCTGAAGAGACCCCTTACCATGAACACAGCCTTGCTAAGTACTGCGGATTCAAGGATAAACTTGCTCTGAAGGTTCTTAGTCTCATGGGGGAAGACAGTGAGTAAAGCAGTAATAATAAAGGAATAACTAGAAATATAAACCATGATAAGTGCTATAAAAGGAAAGATATATGGTGTTGTGATAGGGAATAAGAGGGAAGGACCTATTCAAGTAAGAGGCAGAGAAGAACTCTCAAAGGAGGGAACACCAAGAAGATGAGGAAGCAATGGAGGAAGGGTATTCTGGACATGCTGAGGAACTAGAAGATGGCTAGAGGAAAAGTACAAAGATGAGGCTGGAGGGGCAGAAATGACCCTGATCTTTCTGAGTCCCGTAGGCCATGACAGCAATGTTAGATTTTATTCTAAATCCAGTGGAAAGAACCACTGAAAGGTTTTAAGTAGATAGTTGGATTCAAGTTTTAAGAAAAAGCAAATTGATGTGGGAGAGAAAATCCTGGATTAGGAGAGGTCAGGAGACCTGGAGGCCCTGAAAGCTATACCTACTGCAGGACTGTAGGACTTTAAGACTGTAAATATCTAGTCTTCAAAACGGCTAACCCTCACTGCTCACCTATCCCAGACCCCATGTGTGTGGAGGTTCCCTTCTCAGGTCTGCAAAAACACTTTTAAAAGCATCAGGACAAGAGAGAACCTTCCCTCACACACACACCTTCCCACACACACACACTCACCAAAGCTTATCAAGTTCACTGCTGCCTCCCATCCTGACTTAGCAAGTCTAACACTGCCTCCAAAGGTCATCAGCTTGAAAATATTTCTTCTCCACTATTCTCATCTTTGCCCTGTACTCCTTTTATCATCTTGGTTTCCAGAAACTGATTATTTGGTGATTTTCCTCACAGCAGGGCTCAAAAAGCAATGTGGGTTTTATAATTCAGAACACATGGCAGTAATCCTTCATGGCCTGGGGTGTGGAGGAATGGGCCTGGTGATGGACTGGCTCCTCCTGCGTTGGCGCGGGCTACAATTCAATTATGCCACTTTCAATTCAGTTTCTCAGTTCTTATTCTAGCTAGTGTGAAAATTTTAATTTGAGCTCAGAACACTTCCCAAGACAGTCACTAATAATAAAGATTAAAACCAAAAGTGGGGGAGTCTACAATTAACAGGAAGCTGGATAACTCAAGGGAGCTTAGCTTAGCTCCTCTCTCTCCCTCGAGAGAGGCTGTTCTTGTCTCAATCACTAAGCATGACACCCAGCATCGGGCCAGGTGTGAACAGGGGTTTTCATTTGACAATGACAACGATAACCTGACCTCTTTTTGTTCACTTTAATAAGCTTTCTTGGGTGTGAAGAAATAAAAACAACGGTGAAAATTTTTGTTGTTGTGGTTCTACTTGTATATATATATTCCTGCAAAGTATAAAAGACCTCAGGATCACCTAGAGATTTTAATATTTTAAAATTCCTTCTAACTTGAACCTTATCTAAGACTCAATCTTTTTAAAAAGATCAAATCTATTTGTATTTCTGTTGAGTTAGTTGTAAATTTATTTTTTTCTGTTGCATTACTGAAAGAAATCTAAGCCAAATGCACTAACATTAAAACACAGGTTTTTCAGACAACGACATGAAAAATGGTGCTATCTCTGCTCACCTTAATAAAGATCAAGTTTATTTGTATTTCTGTTGAGTTCCTGAGAAATTAACCACCTATATTAAATTCCAGGTTCCTGACATTCCAAGGCTGTTACTTTAACCAGTCTGAAGCCCCTTATCTAATGAAGAACAGATTAGTACCCCTTGACGCCATGCATAGTGCTCAATCCCCTGCACAAATCACAGTGCAGCAAAGATACCACGACTGCCTGCAACCACCTTCAGTTTTCTGAAATGACCACGGTTAAGCTACTCTAACTTTCAGACTAAGCCCTGAATCTCTGGTTGTAAACACATGGTGAGTGTAAGCAGGCACATTTCAAAAGCCATAAAAACCTCTCCCCTGTCCCACTCCCACACAGGGACTGCCTCATCCAAGATACCACCCAATCCCACATACTGTACCTTGACTATGGCAGTGTCCATTTCTGTCATAATCATCTTTATTCTCAAAGTTCATGTCTTCTGACTTGAGTTCACTTCTTTCAAGAGGATATATGGGGAAACCTCTCTTCCCTTCTGCACTTTCTTTCCAGGGTTCTTTTAAAAGTTCATGCTTCACTTTAAATGGCTCTGATGGAATAGCAGCTGGCTCGCTCTCCACTGTGATATTATTAGCTCTGCTTGTGTACAGGTCTGGGTTATAACCCTTGGGCTTCTCGACTTCAAAGTCATCGTTCTCAATGCTGGCCTTCCATCTCTCCATGTGTCTGCAGTGGCACTGACAGGCTGCTGGGGGAAAAGCCCTCTGTGGCCCAGTACTCAGGCTTACCGCTTCCAAGCTTCCTTTCTTGGCTTCATCTACATGGAAGCCTCGGTTCTTTTCCCTTGGGATAGTAGTAGTGGACTCTGTTAGATGTAAAACTTCTGGCTTCTTTATGTCTGCTGGTATATCTAAGTTTTCCTCCTCATTTCCCTCCTCTTCCTCCTCCTCATCGCTGTGGTTCAAAATCAATTTACTTTCTAAACTTTTGTTTTCTAATAAATCAATTAATTGCTGATTTGCTGACAGACTTGTTTTGGAGTCACAAACACTAAGATTACACATATCTACAAACCCACTTTCATTTCCTTGATCCAAGGAAGGGGAGGCCATGCATTTGGTTTCTAGGTGCCTAATGCTTCCAGGTCTCTGCCCTGCCTCACTGCAGCAGAATTCTCTCTCCTTTGAAATAGACATCAACAAATGTTTTCCATTTTTATTGTTTATTTGAGCTACTCCTGCTTCTAAAATACTCATAAAAGATGGACCTGAAGCTATTTCTGCCTCGTGGCCACCAGGCTGACAGTCCCCATCTTTGCTTGCTGAGACAGCAACAGCATCTCTCCTGGAGTCAGCATTGGAACTGCTCAGGCTTTCCTGAAAAGAGCTTGGCTCTTGGCTGAACACTGTTTTACCGTATATCACACTCTCCAAAGACTCAGGCAGCAGGCTTTCATCATGGTTGATGGAAATCACATCCTGAACTTTAGAAATAAAGTTTTCACAAGTAATGTCAGGTAAGCTGCCCCCAGGCTGACCCAGGTGATCCTCTCTGCTTTCTATTTTCACTAGATTTTCAGGTTCATTGTCAAAAGACTCCGAGGTCCTACTCATCTGAGTATATGTAAGAGATTCATATAGTTTGGAGTTGGTCTGATAAAGGCAACAGAGACTTTCTGGTGCCTGGGTATCAGTTCTTTTATGCTGGGCATAGTTTCTGTAGGCATCCAGGAAGGACAGCTGGGGGTCATTCATGATGTAGTAGTCAGTGCGGTTCAGCCCATGTTTGGCGGTGCCAATGAGCAGGTCACGGTCGTGCTTCCCACACTCCCACCAGACCGGGAGGTAGAGGCTGGGCCTGCAGAGCTGGAGGCGCTCGTGCAGCTGAGGACACCTCAGCACTTGCTCTCGAACCTTCCGTAAAAGTTCAATGTGGTACAGAGCTCTTGCGGCCCGTTCCTCAGTGATGGGTTCAACGTAGATGGTGGGATCTGGGGGGCCTGGAGAGAAAGGCAAACATAAACAGAGCCTATCATTTAAGATGGTCCTCAGACACTCACTGCCCACCTGAGCCCCTGCATCTTGGGTCTAACAGGTTAATTCCCTGGCTCCTCATCACGACAGTCTTGGGTGTTTGTGCACCTGCCAAGAGCTAACAGGGAATGGAAGGTTCTTATGAAATAAGGACAGACACAGTGAGGATGAAAGAAGAGCACGAAAACTTCAGCTCTGGGAAGAACTGGTTCTCATTTAATAAGTATGCACTCTGCACCCTCTGGAACCCTGGTGGCGCAGTGGTTAAGAGACTGGCTGCTAACCAAGAGGTCAGCAGTTTAAATTCACCAGCTGCTCCTTGGAAACCCCTACGTGGCAGTTCTACTCTGTCCTATAGGGTCGCTATGAGTTGGAATCGACTTGACGGCACTGAGTTTAATGGGTCCTGCACCCTCAGTACTAGGTACTTTGCAAACATTATTTAATTTTCACAAAAATCACAGACTATCAGCACCTCTGTTTTAAGGATGAGGAAACAGGCTCAGTGAAGCTGACTTGCTCAACGTGACAGAACCAGGATTTGAATCCAGGTCTCGTCAGTGTGACTCAAGGTCTGGGGGTCTTTCCAAAATACCCAGTTACTTGGCCTGACTGAAATACCCTAACCATGCCACACGGGAGCACCGGCTGGGACGTCTGTGCATGCTTTTGTCAGCCTGCAATCCACACTGCGTAGGCTCAATGTCTGTTCTCGCTTTCCTAAAATATGGTCACATGATTCAGAGCAAGCTTATCTACAAATATGAGGCTGAATCAGGGACTTGGAGGAAGCAGCTGTAAACTCCAGCCAGGAAGAAATTTCTCAGAAGGGCTCTCTATCAGATAAGGGGATGTTTAAATGATAGCTATTTTCTTTTTTCTAGCTGTAAGTCAAAATACGAGAAAATATTTAAAGTTACTAAGATTTCACCTAAGGAAGGTGCAAAGTTCACAGTTCAAAGTTAAAGTTAAATCACTACATGAGTTTTTAAAAAATAAAACTATACTTTGGAAAATTAACAGTAATTAATAAAATTAATAGTAGTCTCTCAATATTTCTGTAAGGCTTTAATCTGGATTTCAACTTTTGTTGGAATTATATACATCATTTTGGGAGACAGATTTAATTTCATGAGGGTGGACTCAATGAAAAGCTCATGAGTTTCTAAAAACCTATTTGTCTTTACCTGAATTCCTCAAGTACACTCCACTTCTATAGTTATATCTAAAGTTTTCCTATAACTTGAAAATAAGCATGTTCTTTCCTTGTCTCATCTGTGATATACTGACAGAGTTTTTTTTCTCACCACCATCTTTCCATGCGGGCAGACGACAGACGTTTCGGCACATGGCCACAAAGCTGTGAAAATAGTGTTCCAAGCTCTCATCTGACTTCTTGTCCAAACGGGAAATGCTTCGGAACTGCGTCCAGTCAAAGGTTTTCTTTTCCTGGTCATAAACCACACCAAAGGAAGACACTGTTCTGTAGAAGTCTGCTTGTTCTCTCCTAGTCCACCTTGAGATTTAATCAGAAAGGAAGAATGAGTGAGCTGTTTTTTCTTTTTTTAAAAAGTCAACTACTTACTGAGGTTACTATAAGAGCCCCTGAAGTCAAGAAAGCAGGTAGAGCTCACTTGTCTGCTTTATTATTTTTATTTAAGTTAAATTGTGCTGAGAGGCTTATAATGAAAACAGCCTATTATCCTACTCTCAAAGAGATCGAAACCTGTTGCTGTCGAGTGGATTCTGACTCATAGTGACCCGACAGGACAGAGTAGAACTG